CACTTTTGGTCCATAAATGCACTAGAAAAGTAGTCCAAGAGTTGACACTGGGTGTTCTTAGTTATTTTCCTTCCCATTAGTCTATCAGTTCAGAATTTGGGACAGCTATGCACAGAAAACAATTATGTAACTTTGCACCATTTTATAAAACAAACATTTAAAAAATGTTATTGTGATTTTTTAGGGCAGTGCAAGCTAGATTTTGCTTTAACAATAAAATAACTTGGAGTAGTAGTTAGTTATTGGAAAGGAAAACAAAAAGGAAAAATTGTATGAAATATTTTTTTATTATCTTCTCAATCGTTCTTAGTTTTAATAGCAGTTGCTTGATTATATAGAAGGTATTTTTCCTTTATTTAATTCATATCCTTCATTTGATATATATATTTCTGTCATTTACTAAGGTATTTAGAATAACAGAGGAGGTGAGTTTTACTAAACATTCACTATAAGAACCAAAATTTCTGAAAATAGTTGTAAAAGGTTCAATGGTACTTACCACTAAACTTGTTGTTTCACAAAATTGTACCAGATGAGGATTTTACTTTTTTCCTCCTTAGGCTCAAGACAGAGCTCAGAGACACTTGGTGAAAAACAGTTTTATTATAGAACTTTCAGAAGGACACAGAAAACTGAGACATTTATTTCTTTTTAATGATGTTATTGTGTGTGCCAAATATAAACCATCTACGAGGTATAGTAATTTAAACATTAAAACTAGTGAAAATTTAAAATATCACTTGTTTTTTGTTCAATACCTAGAATAAATAATAATAAATACTATTTTTAACGTCAATAAAAGAAACAAAACAAAGCAAATAGTTGAAAAAGAAACATCTAAAAAGCCATATTAATACAATCTAAAAACTCTTTAATTTTATCTAATTAGCCTGTTCAACTATGATATACTTGTTTATTGGTGAATGTTTCTAACAAGTTGTATATTTTTTGTTTTTGGTATTTTTACCACCTCATATCTTGTAGTATATAAATTTGTATTGTATCCCATATAAATATCAGAAAACATGGTATTAAATAAAAACTTGATTTATGTCTTTCTTAAATTATCCATTTTCTTTCATTCTGTAGAACAGGTGTATTTGAGATATGAACATTACATTTTTACATCACAGTGATCAGTATTATTTAAACAAAACAGATGAAGTTTGTTTGGATTAGTATTAGATTAGAATTGAGTTCATTTCTAGTTCTCATGATTTTAATCTCAGCATAAAGCATTATAGTTTTGTACAAAATTGCATTTTTTTTATTTTTGCAAGAATTACCTCTTAGTGACTAACAAACATTAATCAACACGAAAAAGTTCTAGCATAGTAAAATATTGATAAGTAAGCTAAATCATAGCATTTTTCTTATTTTTATCTAAAATACATTAAGGTAAAAAGGAGAAGAGTAAATAAAACATGAAACTTAAATATTTTCCAGACAAAAATTTACCTTTGAAGTTAAGTGGTACATTCCTCTGGCAGAAGTGTTGTTGTCAGACCCAGATGGTAAGAATTTGTATTTTCATGACTTTCACATGGGTTTGAACTGAAATTAAGCTTCAGAATTTTATTTTTATTTTTTCTTGTGTGTGTTACAGGTGTTTCTGCTGTTATCTTTATTTATTAAATTGGAATACTATATAAAAAATGTAATGTGATTGGATGTTAAATTTGTCTAGAAAGAAATGTCAATATATTGTTATATTTTTTGTTGGAGGATTACAATATAATTTAAGACCACTTTTCTGAAATGTAAAGAAACTGTAATTGTGAATTTATACAATAAAAATATTAATTAAGACTAGTTTCTTTTATGCATATCTGTGTTTGTTATATTTTTCCCATCCATTTGTCTTTTTTGTTTATCAAAGATTGGAAGTTTGCATATGTAGCAAAGACATTTCCTAACAGAAAATTATGAAATGTATCCATTCATTATACTTATATTTGAGGAAGTATAGGTTACTGGAAGATGCTTCAGGTTACATTTGTTAGCCCCTAAAAACTTTCCAGCTTCTCTGTTCTTTGAGTAACTACTCATACTTCTTGCTGTGTTCCACACAAGGCAACACTCTTTATAGAAAATTGTACACAAACCTAGGTGTTTCTATCAGGAATGGTACTGTTAGATTTGGTTTATACTATTCTTGTATACAAGTCATGAAAGATACCGACCTTTGACGTTATTTATCTGATGGATTTGTAATGTGCTGTTTTTTACCTGATCTGTGAAAGCTATTATGTATTTTTGATACATGTTTCAGTCTGTGTCCTTTTTATGTTCTTTCTCTTAGATTGTTAATATATTCCTCTTACCTGGTCCTTGGAAGATACTGTCTTTTGATGTTATTTGTGACTTAAATTTGTAATGTGATGTTCTTATCTGATCTTTGGAAGATGCTGTCCTTTGATGTTTGTCTTGTAGCATTCTCTTTTTTAATCTTATCCTTGAAAGATACTGAAGATGTGAGAGAGAGTTCTCCTACTGATGTCCTAACCCTAAAATCCCGAGCTTCCACAGTTCGAGACCAGATTCTAAAGGAAGAGAGAAACACACAAGCAAAAGAGGTGTGTACATGTTAGAGATAAGCAATTATTGTAGTTATGGTTGATATTAAATTGAGAAATAAAAAAAACTTTTTATCATAGAAATCAGTTTTAATTAGGTTGCATTATGATGTTTGTCTATTAAGTAGACTAAAGAACAGATGTTGATCAGATATAATATGTAATTGATATATATAATACTTTTGTAGAGCATAAAATATTTCCATAAGAAGGGAGGATGTGAAAAACAAATTATTCCCTAAAATAAAGAAGTGTACATATTTCTCTGATATAATATACTTATATAATCTCCATTTAGAGAGCAAACAGTGTATGAGAGTCAAATACTGATTCATAGCTCTTGGGCTTTATGATCTTGCTGTTTCTTAGGGCAGAAGTTGAAGGAAGTAATAAAGTGACTTGGGAAGTTTGAGATTTATATTGTCTTAGAGGTACTTAAAAGTTGCATACAAACAGTTTCTGGAGTAACTTAATACTATTTTACTTGCAGTGCTATGGTAGAGGTTATTTTGTTGAATGTTTAAGATGAAGAAGTGTTTTCTGGATCAAAAACTTGTAGATACTACTTGCACATTAACATATTTACTGCAATTACCCAGTTAGAAATAAAAGAATTCCTTTCAAGTACATGGATATAAATAAAAAACTGGATTTTACCGGTTACTTTTTGTATACATGTACTTAGGAGTCCTTTCAGAATAATTATTTTGTGAAGAAATTAAGTTTGGGGTATAATGTAATCTTTTTCTTGAAATCACTATTTTGTTTTTGAAGTTCATGATCACACAAAAATTATGCATGTATATAGCAAAATACAAAACTGTGTCACCAAATAAGAAGAAAAGGTTTTTTTTTATATGTAAGTTCAAAGATAAATAACTTTGTTATTTTCTTGCACAGAAACCAAAAGGTGCTTGTAGAAGTCTGGACAAACAGAGAAAGAAACTCTCGGAACTGGTAAGAAGTTATGAAAGACATGAAGAGAGTTATTCTTTAGATTATTTGGCTGTTGTTATCCATTGAATTTTGTATTAGATTACTTGTGTTGCAGGAATTTCAAATGGTTGATTTGAGAACTATCATCTTTTTGAATGAAATTTTATGTTTTATATCTAAGCCTTATGGTGGGTTGTCTGGACATTGTAAAAGTGGGAAGTAAGCACAGTAAAATAATGACAAATAGATGTGGTTGTTGAAAGAAATGTTACCAAAAAAGAAAGTTTATCCCTAAAAAAAATATATTTTTATGTATTTTTAGTACATATTTTAGTCTGTGTTTTTATTTTGGTAGTGTTGCTAAACACAATTGGATTATTTAAATGTTTAAACTTAGAGCAGTACAAATTAGGATGCTTTGTAAACACTCTATGTAGGTGTGGATCTTGTGTTTCGGATTTGTTGCTATAATCTGAATTGGTTATCTAAATGGTATAGTTGAAGAGGTTATCAGTGGTTGCTTTGACTACTGATCACTAATGCTTTCTAAACACACTAGTAGGAGTGGAATTTGTGTATATGTTTTCATTGTATGGTTTGTTACTCTAGTCTCATTAGTATGATTTTAAATACTAATTATTTGCTAATTTTTTACTCTTTAAAGTATATATTTTTTTTGTATAGAGAAAGGTGTTACACACTTCTTAATGACTAACTGGTGATTTTCTCATTAACATTGAATGTAAAAAATGATTCTAAAGGCTTGAATTAGTTTTTGTTTCAGTGCTAGACCATAGTAAGACACCTAAATATAAAGAAGATTCATGAAAAGCGTAATTGTTCATTAGGTTTCTTGCTGCTATTTTTATCTTATCTTCGGTTTACTAACCTGTCATTTCCTGTGAGATTTAATGATAACTGGTTTGTTGCATGTTTAACAAAATACTAACCTGATGTTATAATACAATTTCTTTTTTGTTCCTTGAAGCAAATAATTATTTTAGACTGCTTAGATTTTAAACTGCTTCAAAATCTACTCAGTTACATGTTATACACAACTAACATCTGGTGTTTTAATTCTATTTTTATTCTAATTTTCAGGAAGCTCAACTAGTTCTGGCTTCTCCGAACTTGTTGTTTCGTGTAGGACATAGGAATAACAAGATCTATACCTTCTTTCTTTCATCAGAGTTTGACAGGTCTCAGTGGATAGAAGCTATTAGTGTACTGCAAGCTTCAGGTAGGGATTGTGGGAATTGTAAAAACAACAGTTAGTTTTGGTGTTAAAAGTTTATAGGTAGTAATAACAGTGCTTGCTTCTATGATTATTGACCTATTGAAATAAATGTTAAATTCAACAGGTAAACAGATAAAGTTGTTAAGTTGATCAAACAAGTTAGTTTGTTAGGTTTAAGTCAGCCAAGAAGATTACTGTAGCTTTTTATATCCATATTAACTAACTTTTATAGTTATTTTTAATGGGCTGTAAACACTTGTATGATTAGAACATATACAAAATCATCATTGGGTAAGAAATATCTTTTGGCTTTAGGTTACAGTGAAAAAACTATGAATATGTTTCAATTTTCAATGGAAAATATTGCTAAATTATGTATTAGTTAAAATACCAACCAACCTGAAGAAGACAAACCAATGTTTTGTCAACATGTAGTATGTTCTCCCAAAGTAAGTCACTTCATTATGTTTATAAATTGTTGTTTGCCAACTTATTATTATATTAGCATAGTGTGTTTTCTTATTCAAGTATATTTTGGATTCCCAACCTGGCAAACATCAGGGAATTTCTTGTGATTCAGTGATGGCAAAAAATAAGTTATCATAAGCACTAAAAAATCACTTAAAGGTTAATTCAGATGCATTTAGCACATCACTATGGATATTTTATGCATAAGCATTGTTTTGTCTACATTAATCCTTTGGTTTACCATTGATTCTCATGGAGTTTGAAGTTAGCCTTAATCCTACCGACACAGATCAAAGGCCATGTCATCGCACATGTTGACTCGCATTCAAAAGTTTATTGAACTACTATTTTATGAATGTATGTCAATAAGTTTGGTATCAACTAAAGCCTAGTTACTAAGCTTGATAAATTATAGTAGAATTCTGTGGTATTAATATAATAATTTATGATTTTTGGTTATTTCAAAATGTATATATAAAACCTAAAAAACTTATTTTGTTTCACATCCTTCACATGCAAAATTTGATAAGGCTTAGCAACTTACAACAAGCTGCAATCGAGTACAAAGTTTGTAACTAAAAGAGATAATTGTTTGTTATACCCTTTTATGTTTAAAGAAAAATAAGTTTAATGACTTATTCGTAAATAGTAATAAGGCATATACATATATGATGTATTATAGCTGAAATGTGACTATTTCACAAAATACTAGTCCACTAAAGCACAGCTAAGACAGATCAATTTGTAAAAGACAGTTTCATATTCTTGGATACAGTAACATGTGTGACAGGTCATTGCAACTTCTTTAATGTTAGCCAGGCATGGCTGAATGGTCAATGTAATAAAAATAATAAATATATATAGATGTATAATGTTATGAGGTTTAAGATATTTAGACTAAACATTTATGTTTTTGTTTTATAACCTGCAGTCATTCTAGAATGAAAAAAGCATAATTTATATTTATTTCCTAATTTTTTATGGTGGTTACGAAGTCAGTCAAATTGACCAAACCTGTACAGAGATATGATAGTGAAAATAACAGGTAAATTACAGTTTTTTCTAAAAAAAACGTTTGATGATTATCTGGAGGTTATAAAGATTTTGAATGTGAAATTTGAAAATTTTCTGATGCATAAAAGTATTTTTAATCTTAAAATCAAAATTACTTTGCATGTTGGATAGTCAACATTCAAAAAGTTAAAAGTCATGAGAAAAACATTATTTTAAAAATCTTAAAACTTAATGAAAAAATTCTGATAATTTGCCTATGAAATCCTTATAATGTTTACTGATAATATGCAAAATTTTCTGAAGATACACTTGCTGATTTAAAAGTTATAGCATGAAAACTATAACAAGCCCAAAATGGTTATAAGATTGGTCCCTGGAACCGAGCCTTTGCTGGGAGAGTTAACTCTCTCAATACAGGGTCAGACCCAGGTATCGACCATGATACTATTTTTACTTTTCTATAGTTTTAATACTATAATTTTTAATACAGTGTGTATATCTTCACAGTATTTGACATACTTTTAGTACAATTACAAGTATTTTGTACACAAAAAAAATCTTTTTTTTTTAATGAACTATTATTACTAAAGATTTGTCTGTGAATATATCGGGTATTTGTTTAGAATAGTCCTTGTGCAAAGTGATTTTCATGTTAAGATTATAAATACTTCATCTCAACAATCTCAAATTTGATTTGTATATTCTCTAAAACCTCCTAAATACCTTTCAGACAATTATTTTCACTAAAATTTTATATTTTATCTGTTAGTTTCTCTACCCTAACTCTATACAAGGTTGGTCAATTTGACCGAATTTGTAACCACTAAAAAAAAATCGAAATTTAAATTACGCTTTTTTCTTTCAAGAATGACTTCAAATTGTAACATGAAACTAAATTCATTTATCCTAAGTAGCTATAAATGCATAACAGTATACATCTATTATAATTAAATTTTAATGTTTTATTGCTCTTTAAACCATGTCTAACTACTATTTGTGCCATTATAAGTTGTAAATCGCATG